CCCCAAAACCCCAAAACCCCAAAACCCCAAAACCCCATTTGTGTGGAAGATTATTGAAAATTTAGGAAGAAGAGGAGAGTGAGGCTTTAGGGGGATTTTAGGCGGTGGAGAATTTAGGCAGGGAGATGGTGAAGGTGTTGGAACGGGTCAGGAGGGTTTCGATGGAGGGGAGGAAGGGGTTGTGTTGGGATGTGTTTCTGTTGGTGTCTTTGTTGAATGAGGAGATTATGGTGTTTACTTCTGTGAAGTCTTTGTCGAGGAGGTCGTTCTGTAGGCTGGAGGTGACGGAGAGGATTAGTTTGAACATAAAGATAGGTCCTTCTGCGAATATATTATCCCAAATTCTTATTCAGTATGTTAGAGGAAATGAATATAAAAACATAGTCATAAACCATTTTTGTAGCCATATAGGTCCTTTAAAATCTAACTCATCAAAATGTGCTTGAAGTTCAGGAACATTCTCCTTGAACATGCCCTCGAAGGCTTGCTCAAACTCAAAATAAAGAGGGAATCCTTCAGTATACAATTTCTCTATTCCAGGTGTAAATGTTTCAGATTGCCCTTCTGTGAGTGCAACGAATAGCCAAAATGTTTCAACTTCTCGACCTCCTGAAATCATCAGTAAGAAACCCATAACGTAATTCATACCTTGCGTATATCCAATTTGTGAGTTGTATGCAGAATAAGCCTTAAGACATCTCTTTAGTTTATTCAACCCCTCTTCATTTACATTTTTATCAAAATAAGGATGCCAAGTAAATGAACGATTAACATCAACAATTATCTGACGCATTATTGGATCTGTTTCTTCATCAATATCTTCAACTTCCTCAAGAAGTGAATCATACTTCTGCTTTGAAAATATATCCTTCACATCCATAAGAGCCATCCATACATCCCACCTATACTCATTCGGGATACCTTTCCCAGCCAACCTCCTAAACTCCCCCTCTCTCTTCAAATAAGCCTGAACAACTCTCTCAGTATCCGAAAGACCCTATAATAACCCATTAAAAACCCCCAAAACCCCAAAACCCCAAAACCCCAAAACCCCAATTTCCTTCGAATGTATTGAGAAAATTATATTATTACAAGTTCTACTATTCTTTATTGGAGATGGCACATGTAAAGGCATCAGATGCAGCATGAAAAGCCACTTTTTGGACTTGACTAACTTCAGGCTCCTCATCTTGCTTCTTTGTAGTTGATACTTCAGGAAGCACTGGTTCATCCTCCTCCAGTCTCACTGGGAGATTGCCAGGTTGAAGTTCTTCTAATAGCGACTCCTCACCAATATTTCTTTCCGAGGGAGCTATGGAATTCTCTGTGATATAGGCAGACTCCAAACTACTGTGGCTAGATAGGGAGCCGTTTCTCTCCCTTTCAACTCTTCGGAGGACTCTTTTCTTGCCACTTTTACGATAATCTTTAAGCTTATTATGATTCTCTTCAATCCTCCTTCTGACAGATTGATCCTTCGATACTTTACTTTCTGTGAATTTTGGCTGAATTCCTGCCAGAACATTATTTGCGCTCTTCTACAAACATCATGCTATCCATCGATTCGCTCTATATCAATAATGAGGGTCTCCAAAAAGTTGGTGCCCCAGAGAAATGTGAGTAGCCAGGCCCATATAGGGCTTGGCTTACCCACACTTCTGAAATAAACTAAATTTTGTCCCTCCGTTACGGTTTTTCATCATTTTTAACAGCTGGATTATTAGTCATTAACAAAAATCACTAAATGTTCATAAAAATTTCTAATATCAATAAGCTCTTAGTTTCTGTGAGAAAGATAGGAAAACTGTTAAAGCAAGGCTGACGATCACTAAAGCGCTTGTTCTACTAATAACCCTGTAAAGAATGATAAATGAATGATAGAGGAGGGATCAAACCCCAGTTCTCCGTCTTACCATACGATTACTTGAGACCTTGCTCATTTGATGAATAGGCCTCATGTATTGGAGCCTATTGTGCACCTTCACTGGCTTAATTCCATTAGAATTATATCAACCCATCTTGCAATTTATTATAAAAGGCTAGGGGTTTTGGGGTTTTGGGGTTTTGGGGTTTTGGGGTTTTGGGGTTTTGGGG